AGAAGAAGAAGAAGAAGAAGAAGAAGAAGAAGAAGAAGAAGAAGAAGAAAATCAATGCACTGTACTGTACCAGAGCTAAACACACTACAAACCTAGATCAGAGTTTAGCACTGAAAAGCCAGGCAGGCACCACAGTACCCTGCTGTGTTTTGAGAGGGGAAGGAGAAAGTCAAACTTAGGAATGTCTTTAAGGTGAAGGAAAACCACAGCTTTAACCATGAAACAATGCCACAGAAGTGTCTATCCCTGCTTTAATGCCAAGTGAATTTAGATTTGTCAAAAACAATAAATAGGACAATAATTCTACCAAAGAATCTGAATGAAAAAAAAATTAAAAGGGAAGGCCATGGCTGCGCCCAGGTATGGTGGGGGAGGTTTACTGTAGCTAAAGGGAGAGCACAGCCACGGGTAGGCACATCTGGGAGAGTCCAGAGTAGACAAGACCCTGAGCCTGGCTGTGACGGGGGCAGGGAAGGAGAGGCAGGAGAGTAAGGAGAAGACAAAAAGGGGCTGGGTAAGGAAAATGGCTGGGTTATGTAGGAAAGGGCCGCTGGGGGAAGGGCAGCCAGTGCCTGGGCAGGAAAAGTATGGGGTAGGGGACAAGGTATACCAGGCAGCCTGGTCCACTTTGACATATTAAATAGGCACCACAGTTAGCCAGCTGTCCCAGGTTTAAGACCTAATGGAATCCAAGATAGCCTTCCAAATTCCTGCATCTCTTTATTAAACTTGAGGCATGGTGTCTATATTGTGTTAGTCCTGGTAACATGGTGTCTATATTAGATTAGTCCTGGTAACATGGTGTCTATATTGGGTTAGTCCTGGTAACATGGTGTCTATATTGTGTTAGTCCTGGTAACATAGTGTCTATATTGTGATAGTCCTTGTAACATGGTGTCTATATTGAGTTAGTCCTGGTAACAAAATTTAGCCCTAAAGGATGAGGTTTTGGCTCTTGTAAGTTTCTCAAAACTTATAAGAAATAAAGTGAATAGGGACTTCACTCTGATTTGCAGATTTAGATTTAGATCAACCATCCCACTATAAACATAAAATGTCTAGGAAAATATATGTTACGTTTTGAAAAATATCAGGAATTTGAGGAATCTGTGACTCTCTCTCTCTCTCTCTCTCTCTCTCTCTCTCTCTCTCTCTCTCCCCCCCCACCCCGGGGTGTGTGTGTGTAGTGTGTGCATGTATATGTATAGTCACATGTACCACAGCACATTCGTGGATGTCAGAGAAGAACCTCTATTGTTGATTCTCAACTTCCTCCTTGTTAGAGACAGGGTCTCTGTTGTTCACAGCTGCACACTTCAGGCTAGCTGGCCCATGCTGCCTCCTGCCTCACCAGAGGAATGCTGGGAATATGGCCATGTGCTGGCATATGTTAACTTTATATGGGCTCTAGAAATTGGAATTCAGCTCCCCCCCCCCTTTTTTAAGACTTAAACTTTTTTTATGTGTATGAGTGTTTTGCTTATGTGTATGTGCGTGCACGGTATTTATGCCTAGTGCCTGCTGAGGCTGAAAGGGGACACTGGATGCCCTGGGGCTGGAGTTATAGATAGTTAGAGGCTACCTTATGGATGCTGGGAATTGAACCTGGATCCTCAGCAAGAGCAGCAAATGCTCTTCACCACTGAGCCACCTCTCCAACCTAGGAACTCAGGTCTTCACGCTTGCATAGTAAGAGATTTACCCACTGGGCTGTCTTCCAGCTCCTCAGATTGGATCTTGAAGGTCACTGGGCCATCTATCTCTTCACTTACAGAAACACAAACTACATACAAACAAGTTGAGTGATCTACTTCAACAGTTTGCCAACTGTTCAACAACCGCTGGTCCACTTTATGTCACTATAATAAACGCCTGAGGTAATCAGTGTATACAAAGAACAGGTTTATCTGGGGCTCCCAGTCTTGGAGGTCTCAGTCCATGGTTGATTGACCCCATCACTTTGCAGTCTGTCTTGAGATAGTATACCATGGCAGGAATGTCAGGCTGATCAAAATCATTCCTTTGTGTCCAGAAAGCAAAACTGAGAAATGGAATGAGGAGATTAGGGTCACACAGTTCTCTCTGAGGGGAAGTGCATGGTGACCTAAAATCCTCCTACTAGGCTGCACTTCTTAAAGCGTCCAACCCCCTATGGCATCACCACAGGGACCAAGTCTTTCACGCTTAGAGCTGGGGGGTGGGGGTGGGGGAGGCATTCAAGGTACAAACTATAGCAGGAAAAGACAGATGAAGAAAAATTCAGGTTTTCTGTCCAGAGCAGGCCTGCTCAACCCTCCTGAGACAAATTTTTTAAAAGTACCCAGTTTTAGTAAAAAGTCCTCAAAGTGGTAACCCAGGGTCACAGGGTATTGTTTCAGAAACTTCAAGAGAAATATATTCAGCACTGTTAAAGGGAGAAACAGTGGCTCTAAAATATGCCATAGGGGATCTCAAGAGAACCATACAGAAGAGCAGCTGACAAAGTATCAAGGAATCCCCATGTCTACCCCACTGCAAACCCCAGACACCTTGAATACTCAGGGTGTGTATAATCCAGAGCCTCAGAGCAAAACCAAAAATGTTCCATCTCCCAATTAAATGTTTTCGGGAACTGTGGGTGTGGCTCAGTGGTAGAGCACCTGCCTAGTATGCATGAGGTCCTGTGTTCAATTCTCAGCACTTCTAAACCAACAACCACAAAACAAACTGGGGATTCATGTGCATGTCTAAATATAGTGGCCATCAGCAGAGTGAGGTGAGACACACAGACTCATGGTTGAAAACCCGGGAAAGTGAGCAGGCTGTGTTCCACTAACAGCAGAGAAGAGAGGTTAAGTCAAGAATGTCCCAGGCCACAAGTCTGTTTACTGATGGACTCTGTGACTCAGAGGAGAGTGCTCCGTGGGAAGATTCCAAATTCAAAAAGGAATGCACAAGATATATACATAAAGGAAGCAGGCAATTTTCTCATTTAAAATTTTTATGTGACACTAAGGGATGAGTTGGTTTTCACTGGTGTGGTTGTCCGTTTGTGTCCCTGGTGGGCTGATTGCACAGCCTCTGTATGTAAGAGTTTGTATGTTCTTCAAGTTCTGTATATAAAGTAGCAAAAGACATGTATATAATTGACCCGGCCCTCCTGTACATCTCAAATCACCTCCAAGGTATTCATAATACCTAACATGATTTAACTCCTATGTGGACAGTGGTTCTCCGGGAATACAGCTGTGTCATTGGAAAGCACGCTGTACATATTTCTTATAGGTGCTTTTGTTTCAGAATTCCCATTCGAGTTTGACTGAACCCATAGATGCGGAATCCACAGATGCAATGAGCTGAAGTTGTCTAATTGTTGGTGATAATACCAACACTTTCTTCTGGTCAACCTTCTTCCGTGTATACAGTAGCAGGAATCCTGATCGGGATGGGGTTGGGGGTGGGGAATGGGGAGGAGTTCCTGTCGCAGTACATTGCTGTCTTAACCAAGAGAGGGTAAGGACTAGACGGGCAGAAAGCAGAGTGGCAACTTGAATCATGGGAAAGTCTTGTTGTTCTATTCTAACTTTGCCACAGACTTTTTTTTTGGGGGGGGGGTTGTTGGGTTTTGGTAGTGGTTGTGGTGGTGTGTGAGTGTGTGTGCATGAGTGTGTGTGCATGTGTGTGTTTGTGAGTTTTGTGTGTTGCATAAAAATGTATTAGTGAAAGTATAAAACCAATGCTTTAGAATGGCTATTTTAAAAGGCCACTGAGATGTATAGACTTTGGGGTCTGGTTCATTTTGGTGTGTAATGCTTTTTATTTGCAAGATTTTTTTTATAATAAAGTTTTAATAAAAAGATTGAAGATAATCTAAGTACAGGGAACTCTAACAGTAACAGACAATCTGGAAAAGAAGTACACAGGAAGAGTACAGGAAGAGGATGGAAACAGGAAGTGGGTGGGTACACCTGGTGACACACTTGACATACAGCTCAAGGGAGGATTTATGAGTGGGAAGTGCTCTGGAAAACTTTTTTTGACTGTGCCAAAAGATGGCTACATAGTCAGTTCAGGGCTATCCTGGGCTACATGAGATGCAGAATATAGGGCCCAAGATATGGAAGATGAAGAAAGGCTTAACATGTATCTAAGCAATCCCTGAAGACAAAACAGAGAGGTGATGCAGAAACTGTATTGGAAGAGACTATGAAAAAAAAAAAAAAGAACCTCAAGAAATCATTCAATAATGAAGCATAAGCAGAACAAATAAAAGAAATACAAACATTGATATATCATCGTGAAGTGTCAGCAAACCAAAAGCAGGCTGCCAGAGAACCAGAGTAAAGACTCTAGGACAAACAGACACATCATCTGTGTTTTATCAATTGAAGCAGGAGATGTCGTCAGACAGCGGACAAGGGTACCATCAAGTGCATGGATAAAACTGAGTGATAGGCGAGGTCCTGCACCGGAGAGAGCTGTCTGCAAAAATAAGACCAAAATAGGAATGTCTCTTCTTCCAGGACTTCTGTGATCAAGCAGCGTCCCCCGTGACCAGCTGTGCTAGCTTCTAAACCTCCCGTTTTTAGGAGCAAGCTGACTACAGGCATGGAAGCATCTTAATGAGCAGGAGGATCCAGCCTTGACTCCCAAGGGAGGATGGGGATCACAGTATCAGAAAAGATGGAGGTCTTATGTGGTAGTTTTAAGAATAAGAAAACAAACTTGCTTTCAGAAATAAAAACTGTGGATGGACCTTCAGTCACATTCACCAAAGGAGCTTCATTTTTGGTTTTTCTCTTTGTTTTTTTGTTTTTGTCCGTTTGCTTTTGAGATGGGATCTCAAGTAACCCAGCCCAGGATGGCTCTGAACTGACTATGTAGCCAAGGCTGTATTTGAACTCTTCATCCCCCTGTTTCTTCCACACAGTGTTGGGATTACCGTTGTGTGCTACTATACCTGGCTGATTTATTAGAAGGAATTTTAAAGGCAGAGATATATTTGCTTCAAGGAATGAAGAGAGACTGGGGAGAGGTCTCAGTGGGTAAAGTGCTTGCTCAGCAGACATGAGGACCTGAGTTCTAATCCCCAGAACCCATGTAAAGCTAGTGTGGGGGGTGGTGGTGGTGGTGGTATACATTAGTAATCTCAGAGCTCCTACACATCGGAGGTCCCTGGGGAAGTTCATGAACCAGTTTACCTGGAGTATGCAGCAGCAAAATCCAAGAGACCTCATTTCAAACAGGGTGGGGGATGATACCATAACCTGTAGAACTGAGGCTGGCTGACAGCAGGAGGGGAGTGAGTATAGATCGTCAACCATTTAGTGTGACAAGGATGGCAAGACATGAAAAAGGGCTTATTTTCAGATTTCAAATAGTCATCTTGGTAGTAGATTTACATTTTAGTGTTTTTATTGTGTGTGCTATGGGACCAGTTCACAGATGAGGTCGCTCTTGGGGTGGGCCAACTCAAAGCCCTAGATCTGGTCCTGGGTAGTAGCTGAGCCAGTCAGCCTGTGGGCTCTCCCTTATCCATGCCACCAGGGTGAGCACTTCCCAGCTGGCCCACCCAGAGCCACTGCTGGCAGGAGTGGGGGGTGGGGGACAGTTCTCCCAATGCTCGAGCTCTCTCAGGAAGGTGGGACATCCGGGACAGCTCCAGTGTGCTTCTCAGGTGAGGTTCAGGGCCCTCTCTCCTAAATACTGTCGTCAGTGAGAGGTGGGGCCAGCTCTCCACAGTGTCACAGCCAGTGAGGGGCAAGGCCGGTTCTGTACAGCCCCTGGGCATCTACATGGTCCCAGGTGGCTACTGAGACCAGGAACATCCCCCTGTGGTCTCTAGTGGTGAGCCATAGATACCCACACTGACCTCGGCTGCTGTATGACCAGACATGGCCCTCACTAGCAACATGAGCTGGAACTTCACCATGGCCTCAGGTGGTGGGACAGGCTCCTTCCATCAAGCTGTTCCTCTTCACCCTCCAGTCTCCAGTTCCGTCTCTCTTCATAGTGCTCACACTCTTTTTCTCCCATGGGTCCACCACATATTTGCACATTGTAGTGGCTCCCATTCTAATTGGGCCCCATGGCCGGCGGGCTCTGGGATGACCTCCTCTACCCATGCCGTGTGGCAGCCGGCAAGCTTCTAGGTGTCTACAGGCCACCCACGCCGTGTGCTGGCATGCAGGCCTCTGTGTGCCTGGTGTTCAATTTTTTTGAGCTCTTTATCTCTTACATTGTTGAAAATCAAAACTCATGACATAGAGGGGAAGGGTTAAAGCTACAAAATGGAAGTAAATGAAACCTCTTGATAGTTTTGAATTAGACCAGAATTATCAATATTGACTCACAATATAGTTTATCTTCAAAGATATTTGTGTATATATACATACATAGTATATGTGTGTATATATATAAATGCACATATATGTATACACACACTATATATACATATACCACGCACACACTTGTATTTGTGATCCAGTATGCTGGAGTTACAAGAAAGTGTGCGTATTTAGCTCCTCTGCAAACATACTGATCATCGACCTGAAGAAGTGAGTGTCCTTACTACTGGGACTGTATAGCCACAAGGATAGTGTACCCAAGCACCAACTCTCTCAAAGGAGCCAGGATTTCTTCTATAAATTAAATGACTTCAGGACTGGCCCAGGAAATAGAACGGTAAGTGTAGAAGATCTTGTCCCACTAAGCAGAGACCTTTCAGAAGGTGCTCTGAAACTGGCAAGGGGGAAAAAAGTAATCAATAGTTCTGCGCAGCTGTAAAGCCTACAGCCACACGGATGACAAGCAGAGAGGTACAATAGTGGTACAACAGTGGCTCTTCTGTCTCAGGGATGCTCAGTAACCACCTGAGAGGACTTAAGGCCCACACAGTAGTTGAGACTTCATGCCTGGTACTGTAAACCTAACCAACTATGGCAGCTATAGAGGTCATGGACCCTCAGGGAGAATCTACTACAGCACTTTCCTATACCAATATAATTCACAACTGCATCCTAAATACTTATCCTCTTCCCCTCAGGTAAATGTAGCTCTGGACGCTCACCGGAAACCACTTCTTTGCATTAGATGGAGACCATCACATAGACGCACAACTGGTCAAAACCCAGAGCCCCTCTGACTGTGAGGTGCCTGCCCACCTCCAGCTGATACATCTACAACACACACTACACCTCACCAAAGACTCAGGGAACACTGAAGTAGGGGGCTAGAAAGATTGTCAGAGCCAGAGGACCAGGGTGTCTTCCAGGAGATAGTGTCTTTTATACATGACAGGGAAACTGTGGCCATGAAATCTTAACAATATGGTACCCAAACTAGACCAATAACAACACCAGCTGACATGTCAGTGGAGATGGAGGAGATCTCACAAGGTCCCAACCCTGGATGAAGAGCTGCAGGCAATTTAAAACTGCTAAGAGACTAAAGAACCATTCTCCTGGGACCAGCCCTAGATAGGTTATCCAGTCCAAAGTGATCAGCCCTAAATACATATGCATATGAGCAAGCCTATATGGACTCAGCAGGCTGCATTTACACGTGTGTGTGTGTGTGTGTGTGTGTGTGTGTGTATACATCTGTTCGTAATGATAATTAAAGAAGAGGTCATGAATTTAAGAGGGAGTGAGGAAGCCATGGAGGAGTTAAAGGGAGGGGGTGAGGGTGGGTAGAAGTGATGCAAA